TGTGGAAAGTCAATCTAGAATGAAGTATACCATATAACGTATGTAGTAGTGGACGAAACTAAATATACGAGGGGGTTTAGTAAATAACCAAATTAAATAAATTTTATGTAAAAATATATAATAGGAGGGGTGGCCGTAATATGACCTAAATTTTAAACGATAAACATCTATGAATCAAGATGAAAAGGCAATATCGAAATGACAAAGCAAAAACACATCGTATCCTTAGATTTGATGGAATGCTCTATCCGAGAAGCACGAAGGGCATACTACGCAGTCTTCCAACAACCATCGAGCAACGCAATGTGCCATGAAAGGAATGCCCGCATGGCGGAAGCATCGATATTTGGGCTCCGATGGTGGGGCCCCGTAAGCATATATGGCAAACCTGCATCATTTTCAACCCCTCGCTAATATCTTCAACTTATTATTTGACCGTAGATCCATAAATAATCACACACACAGTCCTCTTCATGAGGGTCAAGTGCCATATTTCCTACAGATTTGCGAAATAAGACTTCTTTTCCCACAATTGATTTGCAGCCAAATAAACAAATTAAAAATTACTACCAATTCCAACATTAATTACTCCTTCAAACAATAGTTCAGTTGCAATTATCTCACACATCAAACAATACCTAGTTTTTTACCTGTAACAAACTAGGAATCAACGGAGAGCTCTGCGAAAGCACCGGAGGAAAGAAGCAGCCGCACCGCGGAATTCGGATCCGTACCATGCGATTTTCAGAATCCGATTCTTCGTCGCTGGCCGGTGAACTATCGGTCGGGTTCAATCTTCGCACGGCATCGGAGTTTGTGAACCCAGTAGCTTCCATTTGGAAGGAAAATTGAACCGAGTAGGTATATTGAAAAAAAAAATATTATTCGGTATTACTTTTTTTTTTTCCAATAAGCAAACTTATTCCTATTAATGTATTTATTCCTATTTACTAAAAAAAAACTTATTCCTATTAATAAATTTATTCCTATTAATTAATAAAAAATGAATTATTTTAATTTGAATATTAATATATGTTATGAGGAAAAATGTACGTTGTTAATCACAATATAAGAAGAGATTAAATTCTGAGCGGATCAACTGATATTTAATATAAATCGGATTTCACTAATTTTTTGACATGTGGCACCCTTAAGTCTTAACGCTTAATAAATCACGATATTATAATTAGGGTTAGAGGAATTACGGGTTATGCTGAGTTTTTTATTTTCTTTTTCTTTTTTTCTTTTTCCAATTATTAGAATCATAATTATATTTTTATTTAAACTATTCACGTGTCAATCATCCTATGGCATTCGATTTTCCTATTAAAACAGACCATCCGGTCTAAATTTGAACCCATATAAGAAATGAATTGGAGCCGAATTAATATGAAGAACTAAATCATGCATAACTGCTAAAAACACACATTATTAATAAAACTCAGAAAATTCAGAAGAACATTATTGAAAACTAACAAGTATTTGCTTATCTAATATTTCAAACAAAAAAAAAAAAAAGAAAAACAAAAATCAGCAGACGACAGATTGGATTTGTTGCTTGGCTGCGTAAAAAACTCGAACCTCAGCATCTAGATGGATGGACCAATGCTCCTGCAGAAAAAGGGCACACTATCACGGCCCCACCAGTATCTGTGTGTATGTATGTATTTATTTTATACCTGGCCCATAAGTAGCTCAGCCATAACACAACTAGCTGACCACAAATCAATTGCAGTCGTATATTCGGTGGCTCCAAATATCAATTCCGGTGCTCTATAATACCTCGAGCAAATGTACGATATATTTGGTTCACCGAGTACCTATAGAAGAAAAAAATCAGAAATTTAATTTCTCGGTCGTAGAAACTTTCATAACTTTAATTAAAAAAAAAAATTGTAGAAAAATATATATAGCATACCAACACTTTTGCACTTCCGAAATCACAAATCTTGAGCTGGTGTGTGTGTGGATTAACCTGCATTTTCCAAAAGTACCGATTTATTAGTATAATAATAATAATAATCCAGTAATTCAAGAACTTGTTATAAATCATACTCGATTACTGGAAAACACATTTAAAATAAAAAATAAAAAAATCTTACTAGTAGACTCTGTGGTTTAATGTCACGTTGACAGATACCAACAACTCTATGTATATAATTCAGACATATCTGCGAATTTTAAGCAATCATTTCAAATTTTAAATATTATTTAATTATGTTTTTTCAAATTTTCGATGAACTACCGGTTCATGTCCAACATTTTTATGAACCGAACCTTATTAGTCGTAGACACGGCCACGGGTCGATTTTCGGGTCGGAACCGGCCCGTTGAAGAACCGAACCGGGTTGTTGACCTGGTGAACCGGTCCCGGAACCGTGAACCGGCCCGTGTACCTCAGGCCGGGCCCGGTTCTAGAAATAGGTGAACCGTGAACCGCCAGGCCGGCCCGGCAGTTCACTCGAATTTAAAAAAAAATTAAAAAAACTTAAAAAAGCTGAATCGGCCCAGTGAACCGGCCATTATTTGTTCTTTTTTGAATCCTCCTCCCTCATCTTTTCCTATAAAATTAAGTTCAAGTACTTTTATTTATTTCCTTTTGTTTTTTTCTTCTATTTAAAAGTAATTATTTTAATTTATTTATCCATCAAGTATTTAAAAGAAAATATATATATATATATATATATATATATATATATATATATATATATATATATATATATATATATATATATATATATCTATATATATATATATATATATATATATATATATATCTATATATATATATATATATATATATATATATATATATATATATATATATATCTA